AAAACGATATAGCAACCCACTTTTCAATGCAAGGAGCACCGCCACTCTTTCTTTGGTAAGTTAGTTCATATTTTGGTTATTAAGGTTTCTATACTTTTACTATGTTATAGAGTATGTGTTCATTTTGGTTATTAAGGTTTCTATACTTTTACTATGTTATAGAGTATGTGTTCATTTTGGTTATTAAGGTTTCTATACTTTTACTATGTTATAGAGTATGTGTTCATTTTGGTTATTAAGGTTTCTATACTTTTACTATGTTATAGAGTATGTGTTCATTTTGGTTATTAAGGTTTCTATACTTTTACTATGTTATAGAGTATGTGTTCATTTTGGTTATTAAGGTTTCTATACTTTTACTATGTTATAGAGTATGTGTTCATTTTGGTTATTAAGGTTTCTATACTTTTACTATGTTATAGAGTATGTGTTCATTTTGGTTATTAAGGTTTCTATACTTTTACTATGTTATAGAGTATGTGTTCATTTTGGGCAGTTATGCATAAAACAGGCTGCAATGTTTTCCCATAACAATGAATGAACGACTCGTAGTTCCATATTCAACAAGGAGTTGATTTTATGAGAGATCTTGTGTAAGCCGCTGCAGTCATGCTTACTATTAAGTATATAGTGTTTTGATACCAACATGTACGAGATGACACTGCCTATATTTACTTGGTGCAAAGTATAGAATGTCATGGCTATGGAACATTCATATTATTTATTTCTGAGACATGAAAACAACATGCTTTAATAGTTGATTGTAAACAAATGTTTCTTATTCTGAAGTGTTTAGATTATTGTATTATACTTTTATTTCAATTTAACATATCCCCACATAACACCAATATTGCAGGATTTTTCGTTTCCGAATTTAACTTAAAAATTATTTGTAGATTATGGACCGATGGAGTGCAATAAAATAATGCTTGATAATTTGATAAAGTACTGGAATGATTTAACGCAATGTTCAATGGCTTGTTATAATGTTACTGTGGACTGATAATTATAATGATTGGAAGGTTTTAATAGATTCACTATGTTACAGAGATTGACTTCTTTTTTTATTTGCAGCTTGTTATGGAAGATGTTGTTAGAGACGGACCATGTGAGCGCTGTAGCCGTGAAGATTTTAGAAAGAATTGGGGCACGAGCATTGTCAAGTCATGTTCGGACGTTTGCTGATTTCTTGGTCTATGAGTTCTCTACGTCTGTAGCTGGTAACCATGTGAACAAGGTATCATGATGCAAATAACCTCACAATATTGTGTTAGACTGGCTTTACCTGATTGCTGTTTCTTTGCTTACCCCTGTACTCTCTGCTGACATCTGGACTTCTTGCTAATTTTCACTTCCCCCTTCAGTAGGTCACTGTGACGTTGATTGATTGATAAATATAGCACAGTGCTAATCCAAATATGCTAACCTCTCATTCTTCATGATGTTGTATTAAATTTACTATATGGAATGTCATTTGGTATCAAATACTCTCTGTTCATTCACCAGTTTGAAACTGCATGTCGGAAAGTTTAATAATGCTGTATGTAGATATATAGATATAGATAACAGATTTATTACAACTGTGTAGACAATTTTACATTTCTAATTTGGTGTTTAAAATGTAATAAAGTTAATAAAGAATAACTAAAAAGAAAGTAAATGAAAGTTGAGTATAAAATGAAAAGTAAAATGACTGACTATTCTTTTTGCTTGTTCATTTACTGTTACTCAAGTACACATAGAGGGATATAATAGTGTTCTTATGTTTTGATTGTAATATTTATATAGGTGATTGTCAATGCTAAAATTGAAAACATCATATTTACTGTCAATAGCTTCCCACAACTAATAATTACTTACACCATACCTAGGTGTTAGTGCAGTGAGATGTTCCAATCAATTCAGTCTCTATCTGATTTGCTTATGTATTCATTTTTTCCACCAGTGTATTGAAACATTGAATGATATGATATGGAAGTACAATATTGTAACATTGGATAAACTTGTCTTGTGCCTGGTAGGTAGTTTGTATTACTTCTATAGTTTGTTCAATAGTACTTACAGCAAGTACAGTACAGTTCTCGAGGAAGCTTTGGCTTCACTTCAGCTTCATCTTCGCTTCAGCAGCGCATCATTATGGCATTGTTATGGCTTTAGCATCGCATCAATGTCGCGACATTAAAAAGTTAGGCGGTTATCGCTTCTCTACTGCCTTTCCATGTGAAAATAATGAGGTCATACTCATGTCACAATACTTTGAAGCTGGTGCCATGTTGATGCCATGAGACTGCGAAGCTGAGGCCACGATGATGCCACAAAATAAGCGAGGCGAACACAGCTTCAATTTTCAATGACACGAAGCTGATGCCACAATGATGTGATGCGTGCTGAGGCGACAATGAAGCCATGCGTAGGCGACAATGATGCCACAAAAGCCAAAGCTTCCGCGAGAACTGTACTGTATTCAGACTGCAAACTTGCTCCATGACAATTTTGATTTAAACTGATGGCCTATCAGAATTGCTGGTGCTGATACTGGTATTGATGTAGATGGACATTACAATCATTCGATATGCTTCTCAATCCCAATTCGCTCACTGTGAGATCCTGTGGTATATGTGAACACAAATGTAAAACAGGACAGACAAAAGACATAGCATTGTCATAGCGATAACCAAGCTTTTGATATTTATATACTCACATAATATTTTATTGAAAGAAACATCAAACAAAAGACTGTATGCAAGTCCATGTCAACCTCTTTATCCACCGTGATATATCTGTGCCATTTATTCAAAAGTTAGGCAGCCTGTAAAATATGTGTCTTGATCTCTGTTTAGCATAATTTAAAATGTCTCTATGCAGACAATGATCACATCATGATACAATACCAACCATCATAAACTTGGTTATTAAACATCTCTTTTCGGTGATACCTGTTAGCCAAGGGGAAAACGTGCTGTGAAGCTAGGCAATTAGGTGCCATATGTGAGCATTGATTTGAGTAGCACATGTTTACTTTATGCGATTTGACATTGAAATTATTACTTTTAGTGTTATTTACTTCTCTTACCATTGGATCTTGTTTTTCTGCAGGCGCTGCGTAGTCATGAAGGAAATGAAGCACAAGTTTGTTCGTTTATTATTCAGTTACTATTGCTGAAAACGAGTGAATTCCGAAGCCGAGTCAACGACTTTGTAAAAGAAAACTCACCAGAACATTGGCTGCAGACCGACTGGTACTCTAAACATATGGCTTTCCACAGGGTGAGTGTCAACATTTTTTTTACAAGATTTTGATGAAAAATATTGCTTATTTTTTTTCTATAATATAAGATTTGGCTCAAAGTTTTGCACATTTTTAGGTCCGCTGTGGACTTAGTCGACAGATCAAAGCTGTTCATAGTACTGATTGTTGGCTGCTGGCATCAACTTAATATTTTTGACTTTTTTTTAAAAACAGCAAAGCAGTTTGTTCATTTTGTGACAATAAGTTAAATATTTTGTCATTTTCACTGTCTTAACAATTCACCTGAGTTATATCAGCCAACAGGCTGCTTGTTATGTATTTTACTATAATTTTAGTTTTAGTTTTTTAGTCATTTAGCAAGATGGCTTACAATTTTGCACTTTCCAATTTGTTTTTGTCTAATTTAGACTTGTAAGCACAATTCACACAATTATCCTCTATTATCATGCTAGACTAGAAGAGTCTAAATAAGTTTATCACTTGTTTACCGTATTTATCCGGGTATAAGCCCAGGGTCTTGAACATGGAAAATTGCCAAAAAGAAGGGGTGAGCGTTTGCCAGGAGATCCCCGGCAAAAAAAACGAAAATTCCCGAAAATTGACAACAGGCAGATCGAACTGCGGCAGGGAATAGAACGGCAAATGAAAACATGCAACGGAAATAAATGAACACTATGCAACACTAGAAGTAAAACAAAAATATTGTATTGCTTATAATGTGACAAATAAACCAGAAATAATAAAAATCGACAGTGAGAAATCATTTGAATTAGGATTTTCCCGCCGACAAACACGCCCAATACGCGTGAACTCAAAATGAATTAAAATGTCAGGGGATAAACTGCGTAAAATGATTTCCGGTCTCGACAAATTACGAATCAACCGTCATGCAAGATCAATAATAATTTACAAATTTACACAGTAAAAATTATAAAAA